ATATATATATATCTAAATCATTTAACTGATAGGGATATGATAATTTGTTCCTAAACCTCAGAAGGCGGTATAAGTTGAATGACTATCAGTTGGACGATTTGTACAGAGTGTAATTACAAAATTGTATATAAGGTAAAAAATATTTTCAGACTTTTCTTATGCTGTTACTAAAAACATTAGCCTATTTCATACTCTATAGTCTGTCAAATAGCTCGTTGACAATGAAAATTATTTTCTTTTTTTTCTACCTCGTTCCGACACGACAATTAGCCAGAATTTAATTAATTTCCATTCACTAGTTAGCATTCAAAAATCAGTTGGACGATTTGTACAGAGTGTAATTACAAAATTGTATATAATGTAAAAAATATTTTCAGACTTTTCTTATGCTGTTACTAAAAACATTAGCCTATTTCATGCTCTATAGTCTGTCAAATAGCTCGTTGACAGTGAAAATTATTTTCTTTCTTTTTTTCTACCTCGTTCCGACACGACAATTAGCCAGAATTTAATTAATTTCCATTCACTAGTTAGCATTCAAAATTTTAACAAACGTTTTCACTCGCATACGAACTCCGCAGCAAACCTCCCTCCAACATTCCTAGTCCCTCCCACGTCCCAAAAATAGCTTCTCAAAAGTTGTAACAATTCAAAGCAACCCCACTGCCGATAACGGAATTTCGAAATTTCGGACACTGAGTAAAACACAGAAGAAAACACTTTACCGACATTCCACTAGAAAGGACGTAAGTTAAATAATGCATTTTCTGGCCTTTTATGCTTTTATATTTTCATATACATTTCACATTTTACTTTCTTATTATATATATTTCAATTTTTCACCTTTTATTTGATTTGTTTTTTGCAAAGATAACATTGTTATGTTTCTTATTTTTCTCATGTTTATTTCAATTACTTTGAGTTTTATTTCATAATTCCGGTTAAGATTACTACTGCTTATTATGTTTATTTTTAAAAATAGCCTTGAATTAACATGCATAAAAGCGAAGGTGTCGGGGGACATTTACTCAAGTATCTTCTAAATTTCACTACATAAATTGGCTATTCACTCAAAATTTCTAAAGAATCTTGTATTAGCGAAAATGCTTCGTTCAGAATGATACTGATACTCTACATCAAGGATGTCAAACTCGCAGCCCGCGGGCCGCACGCGGCCCACAACAAATATTTTTGCGGCCCGGCCGATATATCGGCAAATAATAATATATAATAATAAAATAACATATCGACGAAGAAAAAAATGAAATGTTTACTGCTAAGTAATTAACAATAATTTATTCAGTGTTGTTAGATTACTCACAGCGAGCTGACACACGCACTACTTAAATTACAAATGCGTGTGAGTAGCTTGCGTTCAGCTACCTTCGGCTTTTGGGGGAACGTGCACTCAGAACTTGTACGCATCCCCCGATAGCCGAATGTGGCCGAACTCATGGTCTCAGTTTTCCAATCATAATTTTGTACGATATATTGGTGCATGCATGTGCATGCACTTTGCTTTTATTATTAATTATTACTTAATTCATATTGTTACGGATTTCATAGTTATTTATTTATTTAATTTTTTTTATTTAGAATTGTAATTAGATTTGCTTCATGTTGCCTTAGCAACGCAGACGATTTTTGAAAAGACAGCTGCGTTGGAAGGTTAGAAATAGAACAGCGCGTGCAATTAATACCTAATAAATAAATATCTCGTAATTGCTGTTGCCATCCACAAAAATCCAGATATTTATAGATGTTTCCAGTATATTTGAGAAATTAATTATAAAGCTTATAAAAGCCGAGAACAAACAACTCATCTCAGTAGTAGCTGTAGTTCTAGCGAACTGTTTGTTTACTTAATGCTGTGATTGATTTGTAGCGATTTCGCTGTGAGATAAAATTAGTTTCTCTGTTTTGAATTGATTTTTGCTAAACGTTTGACATTTTGTGATATTGTTAGAATATTTTTGAAGAAATATTTCAGCATTTTGATTTATCTCTTGTGGAAAGAATATATTTTTGTCAACTTTTTAACGTTAACCGTGTTTACTCCAGCCCTTTGTATTCAGTATGTCTATATCAAAACCAAGTGGTAGTAAAATTAAACGAAAAATCGCTGACGAACATAGAATATTCCAAGTAAAATGGGAATTAGAATATTTTTGCTGTGAAATAAAAGATAAAATAATCTGCTTGATATGTTATAATACTATTAATGTACCAAAGTTATATAATATTAAACGTCATTACGAACAACACAAATCGAAATATAACAATTACGAAGGATTAATGAGAGAAGAAAAAGTTGAAAGAGCTCAAGTTAGGAGTGAGAAAGCAACAGTCCCATGTTTCGTAAAGTATTGCAAGAAGTGAAGCGGCGGTACATGCAAGCTACGTCTTGTCCGAGTTGATAGCTAAACATTCGAAGCCTTTTACTGACGGTGATTTCATCAAGGAATGCCTAATGAAAGCTGGAGAAATTGTTTGTCCTAGAAATGGGAAGGCTTTTCAATCAATTTCATTGTCTCGAAATACAGTTGCGGAAAGAGTTACTGATTTAGCCGCGAATTTAAGTGATCAAATCAAAGCAAAATCATCTTGTTTCGAAAGTTTCTCCATTGCCTGTGACGAGAGCACGGACATTAGTGGCAAAGCTCAATCAGCAGTGTTTCTTCGTTCTTGTGACAAGAATTTTAACATTTTTGAGGAATTACTGGAACTAATACCGATGCCTGGTACTACCACAGAAGAAGATATATTTACTTGTGTTTTTGGACTTCTGCAGAAATACAATCTACCTTTGGCAAAATTAAATTCTGTAGCTACAGATGGCGCTCCATCAATGACCGGGAAAAACAAGGGCTTCGTAGCATTACTAAGAAAAAAACTTAGTGAAATTCACGTTTCAAACATTCATCATATGCATTGTATTATACATCAATATATACAAGTTCTATGCACGAAAGTAATAAATATGGAGAATGTTTTGTCATATATAAAAAAAGTTATCAATTTTATAAGATCTCGAGGTTTAAATGTGCGTCAATTCACTGCTTTCTTAAGTGAGTTAGATAGTGAATATTCGGGTTTGTCCTACTATACCGAGGTACGTTGGTTATCTTGCTCCAAGACTCTCAAACAAGTCTGGGATTTGAAAGAAAAAATATGTCAGTTTTAAAAACGAAAAATCAAGACGTAAGTTTGTTTTACGATCCAATATGAATACAAGATTTATCTTTCTTAGTTGATATAACCAAACACTTAACCGATTTAAATTTATCGTTACAAGGAAAAGATCATATCATTACGAACATGTTTGACATAATTAAAGCATTCAAATGTCAACTAGTTCTTTGGGAAAAACAACTTAAAAATGAAGATTTGACACACTTCCCGACGTGCAGCATGAACAAATCAAGTTTAGATGATACTTGTTCGTATCAAAAATACGCAGAAAAAACTGCAAATTTAACAACTGGATTTGAAACGAGGTTTAATGTTTTTAGTTCCCTCGAAGACAAGTTTTTTTTGTTTTTCTTCGATTTTCTCAATAAGTATTGACTCCGTACCCAGCCATATGCAAATGGAGGTGATCGAGATTCAATGCAACACAAATTTGAAAGCAAAATTCATTGAAGTGGGCGTGCCTGAATTTTGCAAATATTTATCAGCCAGGTTTGAAAATACTCGAAAATTCGCATATGAAATTATTTCCATGTTTGGTAGCACTTATCGGTGCGAGCAGTTATTTTCAGTCATGAAAGGTAATAAGTCTCCTATTAGAAACCGTATTAATGATGCTCACCTTGGGTCAGCGTTGAAAGTTATCACTGCAAACAAAATTTCTTTCGAAATAGGAAAGATAATAGCAGAGAAGAGATGTCAAGTATCAGGACGTAAACATTAAATTTTTCTTGTTTTTTTCTATATAAATATATGTATATATATGTTTATTATTGTATTATTCGAAATAAATCTACGTTTCTATGAATATTGATTTTTTTTTTTTTTTTTTTTTTTTTGCGGCCCGCCTAAATTTAAACCTTGTTTGTTTGGCTTAAGTGTTACTATGAGTTTGACATCCCTGCTCTACATTGATACTCTACTTTGGCTATAATCCCATCATTTCTCGGAACTACAATACTGGCCTAAAATAATTTGCCAGTCTGGCATCATCATTCTTACTTGTTTAAAAGACGAAACACCTTCGCATTAATTAGATATTGTTCATCGAACGGGAGTTGGTTTGTTCCCCTCTAAAAATCAACTAATTTCCGATCAATAGCGATAATTATTTGTTTTTCTTTCTTTTTTAAAGTATGAAATTTTGTAAATCATGATTAAAATTCAAGTACCTTTAACAAGTTTTTTCATGATTTACTTTCAAATTCCTTTAAAACATAATTTTCGGAAATTAAACTTCCTACATGTGAGTTCCCTCTTTCTGATATATTCTACTAAATTTATATTAGGAGATAATATAATCAATATTTTAGTAAATAAATTATTATTATCTTACTTTGCAGCTATTGCGCAAGTATTAGAACAACTTGTTTTCAAATTCAATAAAATTTAAAATCATTCAATATATATATGTGTGTGTGTGTATTTTGTGTAAGTTTGTAATATGCTTCAAAATTACTTTTTTTAAATTTATTTTTAACACTGTTTATTTGAAAATCTATTACAATAATATTCAATTGTATTTTTTACTATGTTTTTCTGTAAATTTACTTCTTATTTTTGAAATCTATAATTATTTCCTCCTCTCCCTGGCTAAAATTATGAGATTTTTTCTTTCGGTTAAATTATTTTTTCTATTTACCTTAAGAGCTTAATACTTTATAAATATTTATCTAAACATAATAAACAATGATAATAATAACGCAAAGAAAAAAATTTGATTTATATTTATTTTCTATCTGAAGTCTAAAATTTAAACCTAAGTTTAAGTCGAAGAAGTTTCTTTTAGTTTCACAATCAAACCTCTTGACACTTCAATCCGAAATTTTCGAAGTGACATTTATTTCAAATAATTGCATTCTGTAGAATTAACCAGTGAATAACTTACTTAAACTAAAAATAAGTAAATGTTACTGAAACTTTTCACGTTTGTGTGGAAAACTTTCAAGAGGAGTCAGACTTGAGAATATTTAATGATAACTCTCATTCTTTTATTTATTAAACTTTACTTCTACACATACAGAATAAAACATATTTGCGTGAAAATAATTAGAAACTTCTGCATTCTTGGAAATAAATTGCCAGAAAATGTTTTCATCTCAGATTGTAGACGCTAATTGATGAATCCAGTTCTTTTCCCAAACACTCATTCACTTCCAACTGCACAAAAAAAAAAAAAAAAAAAAATAGTTGACATAAAATAAATAAAAAATAGTTGACATATAAAATGTATTCTCAAACAAAGTGATTATTCTTATTGCACAAAATTCGTAACTAAGGGTATTTATCTTTTGACAAGTACGAATAAAAGTTAATCAAACTTGTATCTGCAAATCCTTGAATAACATATGTATCACGTTAAATTATTTAGATTCATTTGTAGGGTTTCTCGAGCATTATTCATATTCGTTTTAATGGTCATGGAAATGATATAAAATTGGACTACAAATCATTAAAAAATCAATACATATTCTTCCCATTCTTTTCGTAATTTTTGTTGTTTATATTAGATATTTTTTAGCTTTGTCATTTGAAACAATAAGACAGGATTTAATATGTAGGACATCTACGAAATACTTTGACTCAAGTTGTCTTCCGCATAGTTGTAATTCATAGCTGTAATCCAATCAGCAAATGGTTTAATACAAACATACATGTCAGTGATAAGCGTATTCTTTCCTTGCAGCTCTTTACTGAGAATATTGAAATATCTGGTTCAGTCAACATTATAAAAAGTTATCTAGGTACAATTTATAAAATTCTAGCTAAATTGTTTGTTAGAATACTTGAAACGTGTATAGCGACTAATCGTTTACTATCGACGCTTACTATCGTGTAGCGACTAATCGATAATTGTTTAAATTAACCTTTTATTCGACTCAAGGATGTTTAAAATTGGCCCCTCTTGGGCTTAGAGAAAGCCTCCATTTGGGCTTTAACTTGGGATAGAAAATAAGAAACTAAATTAATGCTATCTAAAAGCTAGCTGTAGCTGAACAGAAATAACTAACAGAGTTGGGACTTTTAAAGATCACCGAAGAATATGAGAAGACACGTAACAATACTGTTGCGTTCTGCGGGTTCGTGGATTTGGAGTGATTAACAACAACACTTGATGAAGAATGAAAACACAATTTACTAGCCAGTATTTCTCAGAACAGCTCCAAAAACACGTTTGCAGTCGTCAAAAAACTACGACAAATACGCTGAAACAATCAGCAACATAGCCTTAAAGCTATCAGGATATAACGGTGAAGGCAGCTTCACGGCAAAGCACTCGAGTACAGCTCCCGACTCGGTTCGGTCGTTCTCGGAACTCGACGTACTCTCGACTATACAACTCGCGATGCATTCGACGAAACATTCGATAGCCTCAGCGATGCACCAGCTCGCGATACATTGACGATACTCGATGATAGACTGCTACTCCGCGAACAGGCAGGGTATATGACAAATGTAAGTAATCATGGATAAATTACAAGTAATAATCTCAGTATTATTTCTTTAAAAGAAACATGCATTCTTATAAGAATATTTATTAATATTATAATACCTAATAAGATATCTTCATTTTGAATTCCCTGTAACTTGAATCTCCCCTTTTCTTCTTGTTACTCTGATGCTCGTAAGGCCTCAAATCATCCAGAAATAATTAGAGAAGGTGAAAATGCATCTGACTCAACAAAATCTTAGTTTGAATGTCATTTTGTCTTTGGTTCGCTGTGATGGGTGTCGGTTCTTGTATTAGACTGGCATAAAGTTCATCAGTTAGAAAAGAAAGGTTAAGCGTGACCTTCGCAAGTAGTTTGACGGGTTTGTCTTTGTTAGTAAGATCCCAACAATTAGTACGTAGACGAATTAATTTTAAAATTTAGGTGAGTTTGTTCTCTGAATGAACTGAGAATGGGGAAATTTACGCGAAAATTTTTAAAAGGTTTCAGAAGTTGGCACTAAAGAAACTAAAAATAAAATACGCCAAAGGAGTAGGTAACCCCCCCCAAAAAAAAAAAAAAAAAAAAAAAAAAAAAAAAAAACCACAGTAATCCTTCAGAATATATGATCTCAAAGTAGAGCAAAAATAAAACCTTTAAATAATACGATTATACGCACTTCATAAAATTAGACTAATTAGAAGAGTTCCTGTTCATACGCCCAGTCGCTTTTCTTTGCTTAAAGCGTTGCTTAAAGCGTATTTTAAAATTATTTTTAATCTATTTATGGTTTTAAAATATTTCGATGTGCTAATGCCAAATAAAATCTGCTCATAAACTTCACACAATTTTCCCTTTTAAACTTTTCATAGCTAACATTTATAACTAAGCAGATTAGAAGATAAATTGAGATCAAACGCGAAATTTTGACTTCCATAATCTGAAATCTCATACTCCCTTAAGCTCTGAACTGTTACTTTTATCTCGTTTTGAAACGCTTTCCTCTTGGATTCGCTTTGAGTTCAGCCGTGATAATGCTGGTAGAAGATAAATTTAATATTGCGAGAGTTCAGTCAATACTAGAGATTTCCGAGTAGCCAACAATATCAGTGATTGATTTATCCTAGTATATCTATTCCGAATTTCTCTTCCTTGTGAACAAAGAACTCAATAAGAAAAACTTAGTATGTCCTGCCAAAAAAAAAAAAAAAAAAAAAAAAAAAAATAGTTTTTACTGTCAGACCAACAAAGAACAAAATTGTATGAAATAGTTTCGCAGATGCAGATGATTTTTTTCGCATGGTATCCGTATTATCATAAGCTTGATTTAATTTCGTTTAAAATATAATTTAAATACTTTTTTTCACTATATTCAGAGTATTTAAAAAAGGTGCACAAGGCTTATTTTATTAAATATTGATTCTAGGATTATACAGTGATAACTCGACATACGTCATTAGATCCTAGGACATAAACGTATGGACGACCTTTTCCAATAAAAAATTAATGGAAACTAACTAATGTGTTTTTAGAGAAAAAAATCGATTGCTATTATAACACTGCTGAATACCGAAATGCAAATACAATGGGTGAAATATAAACTGTACATAAATAAAGCACTGCACATGATGCTGTACATAAGTATATAAATAATTTCCTGATATTTAAGTCAAAAGCAACTTTTTAACAGGTTCTAACGTCTCTGATGTTTGTTTGGTATTCGATTTTAACCCGTTCTCAACGTTAGCCGATTTGATAGCCTCTTTGTTTTCCACACTCATGTATACTATCGCACTCGGGGTAATGTAAGCAAAGCCAAGTTCCGGAATGCCATTTTCATGCTTTTCAACAACGTTTACTTACATAGTGATCCTATCAATTTTCTTCTTTCGTTTTTGACTTTCTTTATCAGCTCTCCTAAAACTCTGTTAAAAATAAAATCTAGTTGCAAAAACGCAAATGCGCTTCTGCAGCTGAGGATGATGGTTCGGTAAAATCATCGAAACTAGTCCTGTGAAAATTTGAAAATATAACACTGATTTTTGTTGTTTGACTTCTAAATTAATATTTGTTCGGCGTGTTATTGTATCTTAATTAAATTAAAGTTTATTAGAGTACATTTTATTTGCATAAATATGTATATATGCATGTATTTAATATAAATAATGAAACAAAAATATTCACAAGAACGTAATGAAATTTAATGCAAAATTTTAATTTTTTTTTTTTTTTTTTTTTGAAAAACAAAACATCTATTGAGTTCTTTGTAAATAATCTGATGATTTTCTTTGCATTGTCGTTTTTAGCATCAAATTGTTCAATGTCGTCTATTTTGTTATTCATTTCACCATTGAAATGTACGTCTATATAACTGCGTATACTTTTCATGATGTTCCTCCTTTCCGATGATTTGGGAACAGGAGCTGCATTATTCATTTCATTTCGTTGTCGGAATTTGTATCAATGATATTTTTGAGCTTTGAACAAACTCCAAAAGGCCTTTGTCTGCCATAATTGAGGCTGTACGCACATTATCATCATCTACTGCAAAGAATTCTTCTGATAATACAGTAGGACAGTTCAATAATACAGAAACATTCTGAAACATTTTATTAAATGTCGGCTCAGTTTCAATATCCTCCTTCTCCATTTCTTTTGGCGCCAAAGACTCTGACACTTTTGAGAATCGTGGCACGACGAAAACAATTTTCAATCGCCCTTGGAAGTCACTGAATTCCGTTCAGAGTGCAACATACGAAGCGACAGAGACAGGCAGAGTGCAACATATGAACGAAACTTACTGATTTGTACTCATACTGCGATGCACTCGTCACCGATTTCAAAAGCCAACTGATAAGAGATGAGAAGTTTGTGTGGAGTTTGTAGGGGTGGAGGATGAAAGTAGCTTAATATAAACAAAACTGGCTCGTGTCACAGAGGTTACTTCAAAACCGAGTTAGCCTACTTTCTACAAAACCTGTGAAACCACCCCTCTTTCATTTCACATCCTTGTTAAATCTCGCTTGCGAGGCCGGTGTTTTTTGTATTATGTTTATTTCCAGAAAGGACATCTTCGATTTTTGATTCGTGTTATTCGAAGCGATTTTTGTTTCGTGTTAAGAGCAACAAAATGCATGAAAATACATAGTAGTTTGTCGGAACCGTTATATTATTTCATGATAATCAATATTTCGTCTTAAGCGTTTTCGCGTTAAACGTATTTCACTGTATATCTATTTCCAATCCATACAGAAACGGCAGGATCGTTGGAGCTTGTGTGTGTTTTGGTGGATTTTACTTCATAGATGATGAGTTGTTTTATATTTCAAACAAGACTACTCTACAAATACCTTCTGTGAATTCTTTAAATACAGAAGTAAATAAATGCCTAGGTAATGTTACGGTTTGACTCACTTCTCTACTCCTGAACGACAACGCAATTAGCAGAAGCCCCTTTTTTAAATGCCGATAAGTGGCAAGAGAGTAAAATAGAAATATCTTTCGATTTGTTTTAATGCAGCTTGAATGCTGATGATGAGATTTTAGATTTTAGATTATAAGGATTTTAAGTTTTACTAACGTTTATTTTATTTTAAACTTTGGTTTCATCTCTTATTTTCCATTTACGGCCAGAAAAGGCGCGAGTAGGATTTTTGTGCTAATGAGTTTGAAATATAAAAGGTATTTAAGAAATGGAAGGAGCCAGGAGCTTCTAGCCAGGAGAGAGAA